TGCTTATATCAATCTGTTATCTTTTATTTTTGTATAGATTGGTGAAGCAATGACATCATCATGTGCGAATATTGTACCTTTTGAATTTACTCCTGCCATCATGTACTAAAATGTTAGTGCAATTGATGTTGTGCATGTAGGTTGGGAGATGTTTTGTCTTCCTTGACTTCCAAAAAGGATGCTATTCCTTATGAAAATTCAATGCTTACAAAAGTACTCGCAGACTCGCTAGGTATTCAGTTCTCCTTATTGTTTATGTTAGTACTGATTTAGCTGTGTAATTGTACCATGAAGCGAAAATAAAGAATGAGAAGTAGTGTATAGTGCTTTTTATGGTTGTATGTGTTGGTAACTGGTCAATGGTTACTTGTGTTAGATTGATCATGGTGTCCATTACCCTCTGTTCCTCTGTATGATTGACTGGCATTATCATTTGGGGTTCTGTACAGTTGATTTATATTAATTGTCTTTCATCAGTCTGGTTGGAGAACTATCTTTGATTTCTTATTGAAAAAAACTTCTGTAGGTGGAAGCTCAAAAACTCTGATGATTGTTAATGTCGTTCCAAATTCTGCGAATTTGTCGGAGACACTATCGTCTCTCAACTTCTCTTCTAGAGCTCGAAATGCTGTTCTAGGCCTTGGGAATCGAGATACCATAAAGAAATGGAGAGATATTGTAAGTTCTCTCTCTCCCCCCTCTTTCTATATTTACTATAAATATTTTGCTTTGGACTCTTGAGTTTTGTTTTCTGTCATGAGCACATCGAAGCAAGTAACTTGCATCGAAATGATATACATTTGATTAATACTGGATATACTAACTTTACCAAAAAAAAAGTATGGAGCCCCTAATAAATAACTTCTTACCTTACGAATTTGTTCTGGTTAAGGCACTGTTATGAGCAAAGTTATGAATTCATTTCTTCTGAATTTTTATTTGTGATGGTTCTTGTAGGCAAATGATGCACGTAAGGAGTTGTATGAAAAGGAAAAAGAAAGTCAGGATTTGAAACAAGAGGTTTTGGGACTTAAACATTCACTCAAGGATGCAAATGATCAATGTGTCCTACTCTTCAATGAAGTCCAGAAAGCGTGGAAAGTTTCTTATACGTTACAGTCAGATTTAAAGGTTTTATAACTTCCTGAATTTGCTACAGTTTTCCAATTGACTTGCATGCTTGTGAAAGTCAGAAAAATTTCTTCCCAAATAATTGTTTGGACATGTTCTTGATATAAGCCAATTTTAATGTGTTTTCCTTTATTGTTCAAACTGTTAATTGCTAGATTTGAATTTGCAATCCAATTAAGGAATTTCTCCAGAGTTGCCTCTCTAGTTGTCTAGTTTACTAATTTTCAGTTTTATCATAAAAGTTTCTTGTAAACTATATGCTAGCTTTCCTGATCTATCTATTTTTACATTCCAATTTTCTAGTTTGTCACAATGTTTGACAATTTTCATCTTTTATCTGGGGAATGCATTTGTAGTTTGTATTCTAAATTGGTTTTTGGTAATGTTTGACTTTTTTCACTTTATTACCGGGGAATGTATTTGTGGCTTTTCTGTATTTTAAATTGGTGTTTGGCGCTGTCTTGTCTACATGTGTGATTCAACATTGATCATGTAGTTTCTTATAGTAAGCATGTTGCTAAACTGGTTTAATATTCTATTTGATGCAGTCAGAGAATATTATGCTTGCAGATAAGCAAAAGATAGAAAGGGAACAAAATGCGCAGCTCAGAAATCAAGTAGCTCAACTGTTACAGTTGGAGCAAGATCAAAAAGTGCAGATAGAACAACGAGATTCTACGATTCAGGCCTTGCAGGTTGGTCATGTGTCTGTTTAGTCTTCCTCATTTATATTTTGAGTGTTCAATATTTATTTTGAAATGTCCAGGAACTCCCGTAGAAAACCTGTTCAATGTTATTGTTGTGTTACATTCATATTTTATGTGTAATCTACACTACATACTTGGGATGGGTGTTTCACTATAATATGATTGAATCATTTGGAGCTTATTTGGGTCAGCAGTTGGTCTTTGCAGCATGGTTATTTTTGACACTGTTCCATAATTAACTCAGCTCATGATATTATAATTTTTTTTGGGCAGGTAGCCCCTGATATTATTTGAATATCACTGTTTTCAACTGTTGCTTAATGTGGTTCTTCATTAAAGTAACTATGGCACATATTCATTTGTCAATGTCTGGAGGTTTCAGTTTTGTTGCATTGTTAAAGAGTTGAATTATGATGGACGTATGCTAATGTATGAAAGTTTCATATTTATGTTTCCTAATAAAAAATTTACTTTGCAATATTGTTGCACCATATGGTGTTCTCTAACTTTAATTGTCTCATTCAGGCCAAAATGAAAAGCATTGAATCCAGACTCAGTGAAGCACTCCATTCCAGTGAAGATCGGTCAGCATTAGGCTCAGATCTATCAAATGCCAAGGCAATTGGGGATGGCATGGATTCTCCCCCAGTTACTAAGAAATTGGAAGAGGAGCTTAAAAAACGTGATGCACTAATAGAGGTGTGCTATTCTACCATAAACGTGATGCATTAATGATGATGAATCATTATTACATGACCTCATATTTGTATCCTTGAACATCTTATTGATGCTATTTGTAGTCTGAATCAATATTCATTTCCCATGCAAACTAGAAGTTCACGAGCCTAAGTAGAGACTTGAACCTTTCAAGACATTAAATCCTGACATTTAGAATTAAACTCACAATGGCAATCCATTAAATCTGTAAAAATAAGAAAGCTATGGCAATCCAAAATGACCTCGCTAACAAATCTGCTAATGTCATGAAGAGTGCCACATGAATAGTAATCATGCTACATAATCGTTAACAGTGCCCAGTAGTCTGAAGACCATTAGACTGCAAAAACTAGAATGAAGTACCAAAGGCTCCTGTTTTAGTCTCCTGGGGACCAAAAAGTTGTGTTATGAGGAGTCTCTTCCACAATGACTTAGTATCCTCTACCAAGTCCTTGTTTGTGTGTGCCAGCATGAAAAGATCATCTATTTAAATATATATTTCAAATCTCAATCAATATGCTCCTTTATATATAGTTATATTTCGTTCTAAAAGGATGACTAATACTCTCTCTCTCTCTCTCTCAACAGAGGTTACATGAAGAAAATGAGAAGTTATTTGATAGATTAACAGAGAAAGCATCTTTGGCTGGATCACCAAAGGTAATTTCTATTTATCTCATTTTAGATGTGGTTGTGTGCTTTCATGCTATAGATGTATCTTTGTGCAGTTGATTATTTTTTAAGCATTTCAAGTATCTGCTACAGTCTTTTGGTTTTATTCATTTTCTTGTGGCATCTTTTGTGCTTATTGTTGCATTCATTGCTTTTCTTGATTCAGTAATTCATGGAAATCTGAGGAATGCAGTTAGATGTAATTCTGGGTGTTTATTGTAATAAAACACTTGAAGATTCTGGGCTGAAAGTTTTTTCAGTTAGCAATCTGACTCTATGGTAGCTGTTTCATTTATTTGTATGATATTGATGGTTCTGTTTTGTGATGCCATTTGGACCGACTGAAAAAAGTTTAGGAGAAATTCAAAATTCTACGAAAAAGTTAAGAGTTTGCAGAAAGCTGTTGTCCTATTCGAATCCATTGTTAGATAATAAGCTGCTTCCTTATTTGATTTCATGTGATCATGTAAACTATGTTCACAATTTTTTGTCTCATTTATGAAATTTAAGCAATTCTACTTCAGTGATTTGTTTAGGGTATTGTTTCATACTTCTAATATGTGTTTGTGTGTGTGTGTGTTATTTCAGCTGTCAAGTCCATTATCCAAGGGGCCGCTAAATGTGCAGTCTCGGGACCTTGTGAGGTAAGACTTTTGGCTACACTTTGTGGTTAATGTAATTTTTGTCTTATCTTTCTCTATTCAAAAGCCCTTATTTCCTAAAAGAAAATTTTGCTTATTAAACTTTATTTTTTAATACCATAAAGCAGGATTGATAGTAGGGGGCATTCGATGGATGTTGTTCCTTCATCCCCGGCACTTGCTGCAGACAAGACTGAGGGTACAGTTGCTTTAGTGAAATCAGGTTCGGATAAAGTCAAAACAACCCCTGCAGGAGAATATCTTACATCTGCCTTGAATGACTTTGATCCTGAACAACATGACAGCCTTGCTGCCATTTCAGATGGAGCAAATAAGCTTTTGATGCTGGTACGCTTGGTTATTTGATTTTTCTTTTAATTTGTGTTTGTAATCATACTGACATAATATGATTTATGTGGATATAATATGGTGTTGTGCATTTCTTATTTTAAAGTGAGTATTAAAGCTTCAGTTTCAACATTTCACCTTTAGTTGATGTTGAAAATGTCATACTAACTAAGGATTTTTTTCTTGTTAAATTTTTTGGGGGTGGTGGTGAGCTTTACATAGAGGAGCTTGTTAAATTATTGATTCATAAGTTTTTATAATAAAAAAGATTCTTGTAAATCATTCTATATATTATCTGATCTCTCATCGCCCTTCTCACTTTCCTCTCCTTGTTCTTTCTATTTCTTTAACTGAAAACAAAAACATTACTGCACAATACCTAGGATCATAAAAATTAAACAACTTTTTTTTTGGCTTGACTTAGCTTGTATGGTGGATCATGATGTCAGAATGGTAATACTTTATTAGTCTTTCAGGTTTCATTTGAGCACATAATCTTTCTTTTGGTCGGAACATGTTAATGGTTGATAATTATTCTGCAGCTAAAGCTAAGATGTGATGATATGTGTTCACTTGTCTAGTATGGATTTTCTGCTATTTGGCTTAAAGTATTTTACCTATTGGTCTTTCTATATACAGAAGTTTCAACAGTTTGTCAATAACAGGAACTTGTACACCTACGCAAATCCTGAGTAATTTGTATCTTAGAAGTAGAAATTCCAAAAGTAACTGTATTTACAAATGACAGGTTCTGGCTGCAGTAATCAAAGCAGGGGCTTCTAGGGAGCATGAAATACTTGCTGAAATAAGAGATGCTGTTTTCTCCTTTGTTCGTAAAATGGAACCACAGAGGGTAATGGACACCATGCTTGTATCCCGTGTTAGAATTTTGTATATTAGATCTTTGCTTGCTAGATCGCCGGAGCTGCAGTCCATCAAGGTAATGAAAGTTACAAAACAATAGAGACCTTACCATTCTATTTGTATGCTCCCTCTTTTTCCTGGGGGGTTGGGGTCAAGAAAATATGATGTCAAATGCATATTATTTAGTGCTGTTTCCGTCTTATTATTTATAGGTTTCTCCCGTTGAGAATTTTCTGGAGAAGGCTAATACTGGACGTAGTAGAAGTTCCAGCCGAGGTAGCAGCCCTGGAAGATCTCCCGTGCGCTATGTTGATGAGCATATCCAAGGCTTCAGAGTGAATCTAAAGCCAGAAAAGAAGTCCAAGTTTTCATCAGTTGTATCAAAGATACGCGGTCTTGATCAGGTAGCTGCCATCTTTATGCTCTCTGTGTCTCCCTTGCTCCTGTCTGTTGATATAAACAAGAAAGAAAGGATAAATAGAAAAGAGAATCCCAATACACATGCAGAAGGCAGACCAGAGAATGTAGAGAAAATAAAGGCTAGCTGTTCTTCCGCCAATTTTTCTGTTTTAATGGAGAAGTCTAGAAGTCAGATGTATTCTCTTTACTTTTCTTGTACCTATCTTTCTCATTCTTCTGTTTTTGGGTGCTTCTTCACTATCGCTACTTAGTTTAAACATTTTCTGCTAGAATTCCCTTTTGTTGCAAATGGTTTATATGATGTGGCCCTAAGCACTCAAATGTACAGGATACTCCACGGCAGCAGGTAACTGCTGGAAAGCTTAGAGAAATAAATGAGGAGGCTAAAAGTTTTGCAATTGGAAACAAAGCTCTTGCTGCTCTCTTTGTTCATACACCAGCTGGTGAGCTGCAGCGCCAACTTAGATCCTGGCTTGCAGAAAATTTTGACTTCCTCTCTGTTCTTGGAGATGATGCATCAGGAGGGACAACTGGTCAGTTGGAGCTTCTTTCAACTGCAATCATGGATGGTTGGATGGCTGGACTTGGTGCTGCAGTGCCTCCTAATACAGATGCTCTTGGTCAACTTCTATCTGAGTATTCGAAGCGGGTCTATAGTTCTCAATTGCAGCACCTGAAGGTATGTCTGGATCTTGGGTTAGTCTCCTATTTTAAATAGTTGGCTTAATATTTCTTTCACCCCCTTCAAAATCGTAGAGGGCCTAAGGACTTCTTTACATTAACCTGGGAAATCTCCATTGTTTTTAATGGTGGTCCATATACCCATGATTTTCTTTTCATTTCCAGTAGCATCTCTGTTGTATTTATGTCCATTAGCACATTTGTGGTTTATGTGCTAAATTTGGTGTGAGACGTGCATGATTTTCCTTCAAATATGAGATGCCATATAATTGTTATTTATTTATTATGTAATTGAGATGCCTGCCTACTTGTTCTGTGCATCTCTTTCAATGAATTATTGGTTTTTGTTGAATTTTTTTTCTTCCATATTCCTAGGATATTGCTGGTACATTGGCATCAGAAAGGGCAGAAGATGCAGCACAGGTTGCAAAATTGCGATCAGCTCTCGAGTCTGTTGATCACAAAAGGAGAAAGGTAATATTTTTTATTGATATTTGTGCACATCTTAGAAAGTTTATATTTTGCATATTTCATGTACATTTTTTTTTGGGTCTGAAATCTATCATGCACTTCATAAATGCAAACTTGCGTGTTCAACAGAAAAGGAGAAGAAATCCTTTTAACAAAAAGGATGTAATCCTTAAAATATACAAGTTTTTACCTTAGTTTTTGTTCATTTTCTCTAATTTTAAAAGGTTGGAAACTCATGATGCCAATCAATGCTTGGGTCAGACAG